CATGTTTAATTTATCCGTTATGGTGTTACATTTTACGAAAGTAGGAGAAAATTCTTTCATATGGATTATTAGGTGTTGGTGTATAACATATTTGTTATCATTATGGATGGAATTCTTCTCTGACACCACCATTATGGTAGTAGGATGACAAAAATGGGATTTATCAATATTATTATAGTGTAGTGATTATCATATATAATTATTTACAACATCTGATCCTTTAGGTTAAGAAGAGTTTGGCGAGTCATAAAGAATATCAAAGTTTAGTACCTTTTAAAGTTTCAACCACAAAAGTGGGCTAGACATTATCATTTAATGAGTATTTTATAATATTTAAGTTTTAATGAGAAATGAGATAGGTGTCTTCATTTTTTTGTAGTTTCAACATGACTTTTGAAGTTTCAACATTTGCTCCAAAGCATGATTGATGAAAATTCTTAAAACTCTTCAAAATATTTAAAAAAAAAATTAATTTTTTTATTTACATAATATATTGTAAGCTATATAAATGCATTTATAACAATATTTCTTAAGCTTTTAACTAAAAAGTTATTATATTTAGATATAGTTAAAAAAAAAAACCTAGTCGCCATCTCCATATCTGGTTTACTTGTAAGCTTTACTGGGCATGTCTTATATACCCTCTAAAAAATTAAGAGATTCCTTCAAAGAACAAGTGGATAGTTGAAGTAATGAGCCCCGATATTCATATTGAGGCTCATTCCATCAATGTAAATAATGAAAAATCATTTTGCTTATTTAGTTGGAACTTTAGGTGGTTCTCTATATATGCTTTAAAATTTGTCATTTTTTTAATCTTTTTAATTTAACATTTAAATAAATTTAATTTTTAAAATCACCTACTTAATTTTTTATAGATTCATGAACAATCCATACATTCATACATGTTGGCGTGTCCTTTAGTTAAAAGATAGCATCAAATTTTAAAGTAAAGGTAAATATTCCTTAATGAAGTATAGATTACAAAAGAGTTGATCTCCTCAATTACAGAAGAAAAGTTCATTACGTACATCTAAAAAGTAGATCAGACCAAGCAACATCTAATAAAATGGGAACCTTAGCCCCATGAGAAACAGTAAAATTTAAATTTAATAGAACAAAAATAGAAAAGTTGGAAAAATAACAGACACTAAAAAATACCCAGTTTTCCATTCAGATGCACCACATCCCTTGAGTTATTTATCTATAGCTGGTGTGAAGTAAGAGGACTCCACAAATTTTTTTTTTTCTTCCATGATGATTTGGAAAATAGCTTAAAATAGTTTAAGTGATCCAGTGAAGAATCATTTGTTGATCTAATATTATTAGATATAAAAATAAGAGAATGATTGTGCAGCTAGCATGATAGTCTCATGATGTCAAAGATTATTTGCCATGGGAAAAGCAAGGAATGATTTCCAATCCTAAATTGTCCTCAATTTTAGCATGAATTTAGGGATATGAATCCTAGTAGTTGACTTCATGGATGGAGCAATTACCTCTTTGTATATATTTCTCACGAGCTAAATCAAATGTAATTAAGTACATTCTCTACTTGGCTTGAATTGGCAATGACTCAAGTGTCATTTGGTCATGAAGAGAGTACAATTTACCATGTTGATCAATAGATTGGCAATCAATAAAAGGAGAACAACTAAGTGATAAAGGGTAAAAGGGGAGGCATGGCATTGGAACTAGCTAGATGTAGCTGGGATGCCGACACACAGTTTTTAAACTTCTTACAAATAGGTTATTATGCAACTTAGATTTTATAAGAACCAAAATATGACTGCCAAAAAAATGGTATTAAAATGATCAGAAAGATAATTGGAAATTCAAATTTTTGAGTATAATTCATATGCTAAACTTTGGTTAAATCTTTTTGTTCAGCAACTTTTAATTTTAATTTCTATTTTGTTTGATTATTACATGCCTATGAAAAAATATGCATCCAATATAATGTGAGATTTTTTTTTTCATTTTTTCCTAAGTTATTTTGGCTTCTTTTGAGTGTGTGTGCATAATGTAATATTCTCTCTTACTTTACTCATATATTTTTTTCAATTTTTAGATAAGATTTTATCCTACATTCCTATATTTGCATCACATCTCATAAATTGAAGTATTTCCATCTTGTACTTACTAGGCCATGCTTGGGATAACTTCTATTATCTGTTTTATACATTTTAATTTCATTTTGTTTGCTTATGTTTTCTCTTAATTGAATTAAAGCATGTGTGATCATGATAGTTGTTTTCAAAAACTCAAAAAAAACCACTTCTTGGTGTTTCTAGTAATTAAAAAAAATTATTTTTAAGAACATAAAATAACAACATATAAAAATCATACTAACCAAACATATTTCAACAAATAAAATATAAAATAAAAATAAAAACCAAAATTGAAGCCTAACAAGCTCTTAATTTTTCTATATTTCCCACTATTCACTCCTAGCCACATACATAGTCATTTTCCTCTTTATTTCTACGTAAAAACAGTGTTCCCATTTTTTTTCTTCATTGCCCCACATTTTATGCAGTTGAAAAACTCTCAAGAAACCCACAGGAACTTACTCCGGGAGCTGGTAAGCATAAACTTTCCTTGAAATCATCATCATTTTAATCCTCCTAATTACTTCCATAGAAAATGAAGCAGGAACAATACCTGACCAACTCTCATATGGATGCAGGAAACTGAGCACGCCGTCTACTACGTGGATGATGATCCAAACAACTATGATGGCGCGCTTGCACTTGGAAATGGGGCTTCCTACTTGTATTCATTTCGTACCCAACCAAGCCAGCCGAACCTTCAGGGAGTTGGATATGTCCCTCATGATCTACGTCTCGCCTGATCTCTTATTATCTGCATGCCAACTGCTTAATTATATCTATGTATCTGATGTTCTTACGCTTACAAGTAGGGTCTAGCACTGCAATTTATATACTGCTATTTGAGTTCCTACTTGATTTTAATTCATAGTTCATGTTATTCTGATAATCTTGCTCAAACCAGCGTTTCCAATTGGCCAACATCATCTTTTTTAGTTCTGATCTGGAGTTATAATCAAGTTCATTATAGGAATTCTATTAAATAGCTAGTGATGGTGATTTCAGATGGTAAATCTAACGATGGTGATCATTTTAGCTTTGAGGTTGGTAATAATAAACTCCCATGCAAATTAGATTCATTATATATTTAGGGGCAATTACATAGAGATCAGCCCAAACTTGCTATTTGAAAATCAACCAACCTCTCTCGTCCACTTTTCAAATTCTTACTCGAATATCAAAATTCATGGTAGAACCCCAACCCATATTTTTTTTATTTTTATCAAATTTTCATTAGTTTGATTGTGGCACGTGTAAATAATTTCATTGATTCGGGTAGTTTTAAGAAAATTAACTCGCTGGTTAATTTGTAAATATTAATGTTTTGGATGGTTTTTATTAAATTATCCCTACATTTTTAGTAACTTTCGAGGAGGAATGATTTTTTGTTCTTTATTTTGAATTTTAACATGGTTCAAGTCGGCTGATCCCTGATGATTGATTTTATATATATACATACATATACAAATATATAAATCTATGCACGCATATATATATATATATATATATATATATGTATG